AGAACATGGAACGATGTAATAACTACAGAAAATTGAGGCTGTCAGCTTGAGTGTTCCAGGATTGTCATAGGGAGGGTAAAGGAGGATTTCCATTTTAGCTAGAATATGGTTCAATCTGTTTTGAGACACTTCAATTCTATAATCATTGTTTCTTTCTCAAGTCACACTGCACAGTGGGAAGGGCAAGAGGGACTGCCCAGCTACCACCGTACAACAGGGGCCGAGCAGAAGGACCCTGGCCTTGGTGTTGTTTGGCCGGGGATTCAAACCCTAGCTCTGTCCCATTGGAGCTGTATGACATTGGGCAGCTTGATAATCTATAACATGAGGATAGTATGTCTTACCTTTCAGAGATTTTTGAGAGGATCAAGACATGAGAGATTTCTAAAAAAACCTGAGGCATGTTACCTCCTTGGTATCTAATAGTATAGGGCAGTGGTCGGCAAACTGCGGCTCGCGAGCCACATGCGGCTCTTTGGCCCCTTGAGTGTGGCTCTTCCACAAAATACCATGTGCGGGCGCACATGTACAGTGCGATTGAAACTTCGTGGCCCATGCACAGAAGTCGGTATTTTGTGGAAGAGCCGGTATTTTGTGGAAGAGCACAAAATACCACGTGTGGGCGCGCACGTACAGTGCGATTGAATCTTTATGGCCCATGGGCAGAAGTCGGTATTTTGTGGAAGAGCCACACTCAAGGGGCCAAAGAGCCGCATGTGGCTCGAGAGCCGCAGTTTGCCGACCACTGGTATAGGGTCTTCACCCAGAGCACAAAAAAAGTAATCAGTTAAGCCCCATAAGCTCCACCTGTCCCGGCTGCCCACTCACCCTCACCATGCTTGGGCTGCTACAGTTCTCGGCCCCATTCTATAATCAAGCTTCAGATAGATCAGGCTGGGCCTCGAAGCCACTGTCTTCTCCCTCTCCTCGCCAATCCTCCCAGGGCCCCCTGCTTCACCAAAGAGATTTTTTCCCTGCTTACTTCTCAATTCCAGGGACGTCCTGGTAATCTTTGAGGAGCGTGGAAGGGGGCGGGTCATCTTCCTGGCTGGGACGGACTGTCAAGTGGAAGGATGGAAAACACCCAGAGTTAACTCTCATTGCCCATCCTCCCAGACGTCACTCTTCTCACCAGCTCTATCAGAGCCACCCAGGGTCTCCAGCAAGGTGTGGACATCTGTGGGCTCGGTTTCTCCTCTGCAAACGCCCTGGGCACCTGCCCCGATATTTCACGCTGGGAGTAGATGGCCTTTCCCAAGACCCTGTATTGTCACTTCTCACCTGTCTGGCTCTACAGTTATCACATCCCCAACAGGATGTGGACTGAATGTAACTTCCTTTGAATCCCCCCTCCCTCCTGCCCCCAGTCTGATCCATAGCCCAGCACAGAACAGGCACTCAACAAAACAACTGCCCGCTCACTGCATGAATGAAGTAAGGGGGTTGAGGAGGGAACCCTCAGCCCTGGTGTGTGCAACCCTGTCTTCGCTTGGAGGTGAGGGAGAGGGAGAGGTATGGGGGAGAGCAACCTGTCCACTCCGGTCAGAACCTACTCTGCCGCTATGCAAAGAATAGCAATAAATACAAATACTACCGTTTATTGTACACAGTACTAAGGATGCTTTTCATGTGTCATCATCGAGTCCTAACAACGATCCGCTCAAACAGATACTCCCACACTCATTTTAGAACGAGACTGAGAGAGGAAGTGATTGCCCAGTATCACTAACTCTTCACCGACGTGCAGACTGCCTCGGAGGGGAAACCCCCCTGCACCTCAGAAGGGCAAGGGCTGGCTGTCTCCTAGGTAGGCCTGGGGAGGCCGCCCCCCCCGCCTGGCTCCCTTCCACTCTCACCCGGGCGGAAGGTTCCTGCTCCCGCGCCCCGGCTCCCCCCGCCCCGCACGCGGGCTTCAGGCTGAAGCTTTGCGACAAGGTGGACGCGGTTGTTGTAGGACCTCGGGCCCACCCCACCTCGTGGCTACCGAGCCGCCTCCGGCCTCTCCGCCACCCCAAGCCTTCGGGGCACACTCTCTTCCGCCCCAAGTTCCGCCCGCGTCCCGTCCGAGAGCTCCTACCTGGTCTCTGGATGGCATAGCCGCGGGCGGCCGGGAGGAGACCTGTGCAGAAAAGAGAGGCTGAGGCCATCGCCTTAATAGTCCAGCCTCGATTCCTTCCTACGGCCCTTCCTCCAAGGTGCCTGCACCCTGCGCCTACACGCCGTCCCATGGCCCCTGCACCCCGCTGCCTGTGCCTCCCCCCTCTCGTCTCACTCCTTCCCCACCCTCCACCCTTCCTCTCTCCCCTACCCGCCTCCACCTCCGCCGAACCCTTCCCCTACTCCTGCAGTCCCGTTTCTCAGCTCCTCACCGCGGGGAGGGGAGGGGAGGACCCGGGGGTCGGAAGGAAGCCGGGCGCACCTTCCCCCCGGCAGCCCGAGGAC